ATTTAATCGCGTTGACTTCCCGAGGCGCGCATGCGAAATGCGCGCCCCGATTTCTGAATTTCGAATTTGAAAAAAATCCCCCCACCCCCAAATTTCAATCGCCACTCACCTCCTCCACCTCGCGCTCCCCTGTTTTTTCTAAGGACCCGCTACCTAGACTAGGCGGCCTCTTTTAGAGGCCATAGTTGCTGCAGCTAGGCCTATTTTATTATTTAAAACAAACCCTAAACCCTAAACCCTAAACCCTAAACCCTAAACCCTAAACCCTAAACCCTAAACCCTAAACCCTAAACCCTAAACCCTAAACCCTAAACCCTAAACCCTAAACCCTAAACCCTAAACCCTAAACCCTAAACCCTAAACCCTAAACCCTAAACCCTAAACCCTGGTCTCTAAACCCTAAACCCTAAACCCTAAACCCTGGTCTCTCACTGGGTTTCAGGTCCCCTCGTTCTCCCGGAACTTGGTGGGCGTGCGACCCCTCGTGAGTCAGCACGTGGGTGTGTGGTTTGAGCCTTCTGGAGAGACTGCGGTGTGTGTTGACGGAGACTCTTACCAGCCTCTTGCTACCTTTACTGCTGAGCCGGGCTCGGGTCTCTACACTCTTCACACTGGCCCGCGTGCGCCGCAGCAGCAGCCGCAGCAGCAGCAGCAGCCGCAGCAGCAGCAGCAGCAGCAGCAGTAGCAGCACCAGCGGCCGCACCAGCAGCCCCCCCTACTGCCACTGCCCCCGGTTCCCCCCCCCCGTTCGGGTCCCCGCGTCTCACCAGGTTGCTACGTCCCCCTAGGTGTCTGTGTCGTGTCAGGTTCCTACGTCTGTTCCAGTCGCTGCGTCGTGCTCCTGCCGGTCGCTTGCCCACCCCACCGTTCTGTGGCACCACCGGATGGGGCACCCGTCCCTTCCACGTCTGCGCGCTATGTCTAGTCAGCGTCTTGTCCTAGGCCTCCCACGTGTCTTGCCGTCGCTGCCGCCTTCGCCTGCGCCGCCGTGTCGTCCCTGCGTCGAGGGTAGGCTGCGCGCCACCCCTCACTCCTCCTCCCTTCGTCCGGCCACCGAGCCTTTTGAGACGCTTCACTTGGACGTCTGGGGCCCAGCCCCTCGTCTAGGCCCTGAGCGTGAGCGTTACTTTCTGGTGGTAGTTGACGACTTCTCCCGCTACACCACAGTGTTCCCTCTGGCGAAGAAGTCTGAGGTGACTTCTACGCTGATCAGGTGGTTGCTCACCACTGAGGACACTCGTGGTCGTCGTGTCAGCTGTCTCCACTCCGACCGTGGGGGTGAGTTTCGCTCCGGCATTCTCGCTGGATTCTGTCGCGAGCAGGGCATTCGTCAGTCCTGGACGCTTCCAGAGTCCCCACAGCAGAATGGGGTTGCTGAGCGCCGCATAGGCCTGGTCATGGAGATCGCCCGCACCTCCCTGACTCACGCCTGTGCCCCCCATTTTCTGTGGCCCTACGCGGTCAGGTACGCCGCGCACCAGCTGAACCTCTGGCCACGTGTCTCTCGACCAGAGGTTTCACCGACCAGTCTTTGGACAGGGTCCCCTGGTGTTGCGTCGCGGTTTCGTGTCTGGGGGTGCTTGGCTCTTGTCCGCGACACCTCCGCGGACAAGCTCTCGCCTCGTGCCGTCCCCTGTGTCTTCCTTGGTTTCCCTGAGGACTCCTCTGACTTCACCTTTTACCACCCTCCCTCTCACCGGTTCTTTGACTCCCGTGACGTCCGTTTCGAGGAGTCCACTCCGTACTACGTCAGGTACCCCAGTCGAGGTCTCCCGGTTCCTCCTCCCCCCCTCTTCCTGACTGCCGTTCCCCCTCCTGCTCCCCTGGTACAGCCTCCCCCCCCTGGTCCAGCCCCGTCAGGTGTGTCCCAGGCTACCCCTCCTCCTTCGGTAGCCCCTCCGGTACAGCCTCCCTCCCCACAGTCCTCCTCGCAGCGTGCCGCTGGTGCTAGCTCTCGAGAGGTTGGTGCGGCGCCTGTTCCTGTACCGGTTTCTGGTTCTGGGGGTGCTGGAGTTGGAGCTGGAGTTGGAGCTGGAGTTGGCACTGGAGTTTCTGGTTCTGGGGGTGCTGGAGTTGGAGCTGGGGTTGGAGCTGGAGTTTCTGGTTCTGGAGTTGGAGCTGACCCAGTGGGTGCAGAGGACTCTTGTCGTCCGGGAGCTGGTGCTGGCCGCGCGGACACTGGGGGTGCTGCGTCTGGGGGTGAGGGTGTGCCTCCTTCGGGTTCAGGTGAGCCTGGTTCTGGAGCTGGTGTTAGTGCTGCCTCTGGGGGTGGTGCGCCTAGTTCTTCTGAGGTGGACTCTGGAGCTGCCGCTGCTCCGGACACTACTCCACCCCCCCACCCCTACCCGACTAGGCACCAGGCTCGTGTTCGCCGTGCCCGTGACGAGCAGCTGGAGTTGGAGAGAGAGGAGAGGGAGTTACAGCGGCTGGAGGAGCAGCAGCAGCAGCTGGAGCCGCAGGAGCAGCAGCAGCAGCAGCAGCAGCTGGACCCGCAGGAGCAGCAGTCCCAGCAGCAGTCGCAGCCGCAGCAGCAGCAGCCACTTCCTCCTCCTTTCTCGGGTCTTCGGATCCTTGGTCGAGACACGGACTAAGTGGCAAACCCTTCAAACCCCTGGCAAAACGCGATACTTTTAGTCCCGTTCAGGAAAATTGCATGAAGAGTGGTTGTTTTGCTACTAGTTTCTGGAGTCTGGCATTTATGTAGATTTGGACCGCGCTTGCTTCAACTTCCAGTCGCACGGTTTTCCACGCTGATCAATGTCGCATGACTAACGGTCAAAACAAAACAAATCCAGCTATGGTTTTGAGATCGAATAGTAACACAAAAACCTCGTTTCTACCCTTTAAGCGAGATAAATGAGGTCATTGTCGATCGCGCTGGAGACAGCGCGACAGGATTGAGAAGTAGTCGCGGTCAAGAGAAACAATTACTTACAATTAAAAGGTTAAAATATCGAATCGATGATCTCTTCATCGTTTTCTTTGAATGTTGGGCTCGTTTGATCAGGAGCCTCTGATTGGCTGCGGAGCTGATTCGTGCAATGATTCGGTCCAGCTGCAAAATTTCCCGCCAAAAACGGGACTATAGGGGTCAGGCCAACCCTAGGCGACTTCAGAAAATTCTACGATGGAACTATAGGGGTCGGGCCAACCCTAGGCGACTCAGGGGGGAAAAGGGACTCTCTCAACAAAAGCCTCTAACCCGGAACACTTGTATGGCGAACGGTTGAAGAGAATGTCAACTTATATTTGTAACTGCCTGTAGCTGTAGTTAGTGTAGTTATTTAAACTTTGTGTGGTGGTGCACCTTATGTGTTTCCTTTGCTATATGTACTTCGAACCCTATAGTGAAGCAGACATTTCTCCCAACTTTTCTCAACTCACTCGATACTCTCCCCTAGGGCAAAACCCGCTCGACACCTAAGTACGGGCCTAGGCTACTAAGCCTAGGCCCTTCCTTTCAACTTAGCCTCTTATTTTAACATGGTATCAGAGCATTTTTACGACCTGGCCTGTGTGCCCGCCTTACGCTTCCGCGATGAGTTTTCGGTCGCGCGCCTAGGGCGCGTGACGATTTTTAATTAGTCCCGCCCACGGGTGTGTGGCTCCTTCTCTGCCCGTCGCGCGCCCCGTGGCACGCGACGGTGCCCTTCATCTGCCCATCGTGCACCCCGTGGCACACGATGGTGCCCTGCTCGTCGTGCGCCCCTAGGCGCACGATCGGGCCCGTTTTCTTCTCCTACCCGTCGTGCGCCCCGTGGCACTGGCCCGCGACGGGCCTTTCCGCCCCTGCACTCCCTGGAGCCGCCCCTGACCCATCTGCACCGACACCTTTTCGCCGCTCTGCGGCTTTCTTCCTTCCCACCCCCCTCCTCCTTTGTCTCCCTGCATCCGTGGGGAGGAGGGTATGGGGGTGGAGGGTGTTGGAGTGTGGCGTCACCTCTCTCCCTTCCCCTCCTCCTTCTTTCAGTCCCACCGCTGCAGCTGCCGCTGGGGGGGGAGGGTGTGAGGATGTGGGGGAGCAGGGGGAGTGGTACCGGGGTGGCGGGTGTGAGGCAACATGCAGCCATCCCTCCACCTCTCCTCTCTTCCCCCTTTCTCTGCTGCTCCTGCAGCAGTGTGGGGGAGGGGAAGGAGGAGGGTGAGGAGATGGAGGGGGTGACCACTTAGTGTCAGCCCGCCTGCATTACCTGCTGTTGCTTGCCTTTTATTTTGCATGTGTACACCTGCAGGTTGCATTCTGCACATACTCCTGCTGCAGGCAGTTATGGGGGAGTGTCAACTTATATTTGTAACTGCCTGTAGCTGTAGTTAGTGTAGTTATTTAAACTTTGTGTGGTGGTGCACCTTATGTGTTTCCTTTGCTATATGTACTTCGAACCCTATAGTGAAGCAGACATTTCTCCCAACTTTTCTCAACTCACTCGATACTCTCCCCTAGGGCAAAACCCGCTCGACACCTAAGTACGGGCCTAGGCTACTAAGCCTAGGCCCTTCCTTTCAACTTAGCCTCTTATTTTAACAGAGAAGCATCTGAGGAACGACGAGCTAGGGTTACGACTACAATACCAGCATGTCATCATTACGGTGGGGTGTGACGGTGTGGGTGTCCAGGGAAAACGAACATCAAATAGCATGCCTCGAGAAGACCGCTATATCTAGTCCTAAAATATCATTGCACAATTTTTTACAAATCACATATCAACACGCATTTTTACAACTCACACAACACAATACAAGTTAGAATCATATTTTTTCCAAGTATTTGGGATGAAAGCTGGGCAGCATCGCATTGGCAAATTCCAGTGCCACCTCAGGAGCTTGGCCAGAATGGCCCCGGTGAACTTGGGGCAGTGTATGTGGATACGACAGCACCTGGGGGAGTATAAACTGTGTTGGGTATATCCCATGAGAAAGCATAGCCGTATTTGGAAAGCTGTATGGCTCATCACACACAGAGTTGACACCAGGCATGTCCATTCTCCAGGCATCCTCCACCTTCAAATCAGCTGTTTCTCCGAGCCCAAGCAGACTGCTTGCAGAAGGCACATCTGAGTTGAGCCCGGGAGGGAAGGAGCTCTCCCAGGAAGCAGATTCACCTCCCAGGGCATCACCAACGTCGCCCACCGCTGGCTTCACGGGGGTCGGCAGGGCAATCACATGAGGCTGTGGCAAGATGGAGCTAGGCGTCGAGTGCGGCAGGGCAGGAGGAGGCATGTGTGGGGCCCTTGGGTGTGAGAGTGTGTCATTTGAATGCTGAGGGCTGCTATTGCCAAAGCCTGAAAGCACATGCACTTGGGACAATGGCCGCATCAGTGCCTGTGCCTGTGCCTGTGCCTGTGCTTGTGCCTGTGCCTCTGCCTGTGCCTGTGCCTGTGGCTGTGCCTGTGGCTGTGGCAGTGGCAGTGGCAGTGGCAGTGGCAGGGGCTGGTGTGATGACAACGAGGGAACACATGCAAGCTGTACGCAATGCTGGTAACCGCTCAGATGCTGCAACTGGTGACTGCTCAGTTGTTGCCGGTGATGACCGCCCAGGAGCTGCCGATGATCCCTGTGTGATTGAACACCTCCCTCGTGGGTCCCACCCTGCTCCACCGCCCACTCCGGCAGAGCCACCCCACCCCCTGGGGGTGCCGGGCTCTCACCTGTCAGGGGCGTGGAGGCAGGCTCAGCGAGGCACAGGTGGGAGACGGGCACGTCGAGAAAGAGGCTCTCGCTCCTGGCGTAGGGCACATTGCTGTTGCCCTGCACTGGGATGTCGTGGTTACTGCTGCCGTGTGCATGCACATCGCTCTTGCTGTCATGTGCGCAGCTGTTGCCGTGCTCCTGGGTGCAGGAGTCGACGGACTGGGCCAGCTGCTGTACAGCAGCACGGGCGTCAGCAGGGGGCGCATCTTCAACGCACGGAGCCACATCCCCACAGCAGGGCTTGGAATCGCCAATGCAGGGCTTGGAATCATCAATGCACGGAGCAGAATAAGGCCTGGCAGCGAGTTGGGAGGGCATTGGCGCTGGCAGCGCTGCGTGTGGCTGGGTGGGCGGAGGAGCAGACAGAGCAGAGCGCTGGATGAAGGCGGGGTCGTCGTTGCTGAATCCCAGCAACACATCATCTGGAAGAGCACCTTCAGAACCAACGCGCGGCCACAGCACCCGCTGCACTGCACTCGTCTCCCCTTGCTGCTGGTAGCGCTCCTGCAGCAGCAGATGGCCCAACCAGGCTCTCTCCAACCCCACGCCCGGCCACAGGGCTCGCTGCTGGTGGCACCTCTCTCCATGCAGCTGAAGCAGCTCCTCAAACGACTGAGGCCGCTGCGCCACACGACGAGGCAGGCCAAGCTCCTCCCGAGATGCATCCACGAGGAGGGGCGGGTCCATCGTGAGAGCGCTAAACTCCTCCCGCGCTCTCTTCATCGGCAGGCTGAGCGCAGCAGAACTGGCCGCATACGTCGCTGTGTTGGTCACCATTGCGTTGTTGGGGAGAACAGCAGCATTGGAACCAGGAGTGGCATTTGGGACAGCAGCAACTTTGGAGGGAGAAGTGGCAGCGGAGAAAGACGATATGGAGAAGGGAGCATTGGCGGCAGCAGCAGCAGTGAGGACGGCAGCGTGGGAGGCGGAGGGAGGGATCCAGAGAGATGGCACGTGCATGTCAGTTGAGCTGCGGGCGTTGGGTGAGAGGAACACGCTCCTGCACTCATCAAACGACAGCCCGCCGAAAGAAAGAGCGGGCGGCTGCGACTCAGGTGAAACCGCGCCCTGCCGCTGCTGCTGTTGGCAGTCACTGTGGCCGTCCATATCAACGCGTAGAGTGCGCACGACGCCTCCCAGGTGCTTCCTCAAAAGGTTCTGCTGAAAGGTTTGAATGGACCTCCTGTTACAAAGACACGGTCCGAGAAGAGGAGTTTAGAAACCAATTCGTTTGGTAATCTTGAAATGCTAAAGTTTGAACAGAATGTTGGGGTGCGAGTTACCTGCGGAGGAAGATGTAACGGTTACAGCAGGATTTATTGTTCCTCTTGAGCTGACCGCTCCGCTCCAGCTCTCCCCACTGCTTCGTGCCGTAATGCAGCACATGTTGCAACAGAACGGCGTCCTCCTGCCATCATGACGAGACGAGCAAAGACGCGGAAACGCGGATAGGCATGATGTTAGTAACAGAATGCGACTGCGGTTGTCTGAGCAGGTTGTTACACTCGGTGCAAGAACCAGGGGTTCCCACGATGAGGCTCCGAGCCTAGTGAAATTCGGCGCGACCAGGACCAATATGCTGCCCAACCCGGCTCATTTCACATGGCCTATTGCCGAGGATGGACTCTCCGTGAGAGACGGGCGAATGTTAGAAGCTAGTAGGTGTCAAGAGAAGGACTACAGACAGGGGGGGTGAGGCGAGGCGCTCACCCCGGGAGACCAGGGCTTCATGGCGAGCGACGACGATTGCGACGGCGGCGAACTGGTCGCCGTTTCCGGCGACGAATGCGGCATGGGCGACTCCAGATAGCCACCCAAGAACGAGCAGTGCGGCAAGAGAGCGGCTAAGAGCAGACGCCGAGCTTGAAATCTGAAGGTCTCTAGGGTTTCACGAATCACGGATTATCGCTGGGCATGTTATGGCCTTTCACGGTCTCTTGAATACGCGAAGATTGGTTTTGGGAGGCTGTGATGGTCCCAGGGTCGGGGCGGGCGAGGTGTGAGCAGTTGATGTGTCCTTGATCGGTTTCGATTCGAAGTTCGAACGCGATAATACTCTGCTGGGGAATGCCGCGGTGCTCGTCGACCAGCGCAAAGCACCCATTTGCGACTCACAAACAGTCACTCAGCGACGCGCGACAACAGCACGAGCAACATGTTATGAACAAGGAGAAGGATGGGTGGCAAAGTTGGGTGGCAAGGAGTTGTCAAGACTGTAAGAGAAAGAGGTTTTCAGTGAGAAGAGGGAAGAGGGCTGTATACATGATGCTCAACCCATGCACGCGAATTTGTGCCGGCTCGATGGAAACTCGGCACCCGTTTTTCTTTTCTCAGCCAGTTGCACCCATGTTACAAGCACGTTGCGCAAGCTGCAATGGTTCCGAACCAAAAGTAACGAACAGACCGAAGTCAAACTGAAGAGACTGAAGTCAGACTGTCAACGGATAAGTTACAGTTATTATATAACCATCTGACGAATCCTTTTTTGCTAGATGCGAATTGACGACATTTATGCGGATTGCAAAAACAGCTTAAGCGCCTCCTTCACAAGGCAACCGGGAGTGGCTCAAACGAGCATCATGTCTGCCATCATCAGTGCTTTGATGCGAATCATGCCAGTATCCTGGTGTCGTGCAGACTCGCTCCGTGGTCCTCGCGGAGCACAGCACGTGACGTTGACCTTCTTCGCCATACAGTGTCGTTCCGCCATAACCTTGTACGTTAGATATTTCCTCCCGCCCCGCCCGAACCAAAGCACTCCAACCTTGCTGGATATTAATGAGGTAAGGTCGACCCGACAGCCAATCATCCGCACCGTTGCCTTGACCTTGAATGCAGGTCATCATCACAAGCGATTGCGTCCACGTGATATGCAACTGTAGCCGCGTGGAACAGCCACATCCCTCTGCCCCACCCGAGGAGACAAGAAATGCAGTTATTCTGCAATACTTTACGCGTTGTGATCATCACAACACATGTATTCTAAACTGGTCAACTATAGTTGTCGTTGTGCAAACCACATTCACCTAAATCATGTGAAATAACACACTAGTATATCTCTGGCTCTCTGCTTCTAACAGCTTTAAAGCTCAAGGCCCAAATTGCGTGCCACTCAGGGAAAGAAAACCTGGTTACTGTCTGGGCGATGCAACCTGAATGGTCAAAACTGCACTCATTGCAAAAACTTCAACTTTCTCTACAATTTGGGACTTGAAACCCCAAATGCATGTTCCACCTGTGAAGCTTGCTGATGCAGCAAGGAAACTGTTGGGCAGAGAAATCCCTTGGGATTGTTTTGATGACTAAGGCTCGGGCTGATAATGTACTAGCGGAAGCATCTTTAATGGTATTGATTGAACCACCTTGCACTTAAGTGTGAAAACAAGTTAAGTTGATTATAGCATAGAGATACATGGCTTATATATGACGACATGGAATGCGAAAGGTTTCACTAACTGCAATTGTAACTGCTGATGCGGTTCGATGCTGCTCAATAGCGTGTAAGTTATTTGTCATCGTTGTCGTGCTGTTTTGTAAAGTCAAAGGTCAGTGACCTTTGACCTTCGCTTCAAATTCTTACTCTTGTCCCTTTTGCCAACCGCTTCGCTATAGCTTGGTAGATTCGGTGTTGCTTCGCTGTGAGTCTGCTTCGTTCTTGTTATAGTGCTCGACACCTCAGAAACGCGATTATGTGTTTCCAACACTCCCCTTCGCTTCTGGAGGGTCATTGCTTTCATTGTTGGTGACGTGGCCTTGTCCAGTAAGCAGCATGTAATACTGAAACTTCTGCTTTCCGAGTTTCTTGGTCAAATAATCAGCTGTGGGCCAGCTTTGTTTCTTCAAGTAGTTCGCGAAGGTACAGACCTCCCCGTCAAACTATAGTGCTGCTTATGTTGTGTAAGCTGTAGTGGGGCAGCCTATATGGGGTACAACCTAATAAGGGTTAGTACTTGTACCACATTTCAGATCAATGCATTCATTCCTGCTCGTTAATTTCTGACATGGTTTCAGAGCAGTAGGCCCGTAGTACCGTTTTTTTTTCGGGCCCACCATAAACTAGTGACCGACTGCAGTTACCACGGTACCCTATGCCTTGCCCTGCACTGCGCCGTCAGCGCGCGCCATGCCCTGCCCTGCCTCGCGTTCCGCTGCCTCGCGCACGCCCTGCTTTGCCCCGCGTCGCGCTGCCCCGCGCACACCCTGCCCTGCCCCGCGTCGCGCTGTCCTGCGCACGCCCTGCCTTGCCCCGCGTCGCGCTGCCCCGCGCACGCCCTGCCCTGCCCCGCATCCTGCTGCAGCCCGCGCGTGGCACACTACTGCTCTGCGCGTCGCGCCTTGGTGCAGCCCGCACGTTGCGCCCTGCTGCCCTGCGCATCGCGCCCTACGACAGCGCGTGCGTCGCGCTCTGCTGCCGCGCGCATCGCGCTCTGCTGTAGCCCGCGCGTAGCGCCCTACTGCTTCGCGTGTCGTCCACTACTGCAGCCCGCACGTCGCGCCCTGCTGCCCTACGCGTCGCGCCCTACGGCAGCCCGTGCGTCGCGCTCGGCTGCCCCGCGCGTCGCGCCCTGCTGCAGCCCGCGCGTCGCGGCCTGCTGCCCTGCGCGTCGCATTTAGGGTGCAGCTCGCACAACGCGCCCTGCTGCCCGCGCCGCCCAGGCCGAACCGCGCCGCCAAGCTCGAGCCGCCCTGCCCAACCCGATCCGCCCTGCTGCTCGTGCTACTACTACTGCTGGTGGAGGTAATTCTAGGAGTGCTGGAGGTGCTGCAGCCTAGCCTCACCGAGCCGCTCTGCTGCTCTTACTGCTGCTGCTGCTGCTCGTGCTACTGCCTTCCCTCCGTACTGCCCTACTGGTCGCGTGCCTCCTTGTTTGCCCGCTATGACTTCACTTCGTAGTAGCGATGGGAGTGGTGACGGCGGTGGTGGCAACAGTTGGAGTGGTGGCGCCCATAGTAGCAGTCGCTGTGGAGCTGTTCGGTGGGGAGATTCTGGCGGTGGCCAGATGCAGCTGCAGCGGGGTCCGCGCGAGACCCTTACGCCCTAGCAGCTCCGTGAGTGGTACGCTAGTAGGTGTGGTGGCGGCGGCCGTAGTAGCAGTCGCGGTGGAGCTGTTCAGTGCAGAGTTTCTGGCTGTGGCCAGATGCAGCTGCAGCGGCGTCCGCGCGAGACCCTTACGCCCCATCAGCTTCGTGAGTGGTACGCTCAGAGTGGGGGGACTGTCCGCTGCCCATACGTCATTTGCACAGGTGATCGGGCTGGTCAGACTTGCGGGACAGTTGGTCATACATAGGCTCGCTGCTTAGCGTGTCTAAGCGACGCCTGGCGTACAGTGTTTGGAGACGAGGTTGAGCTCCCCCTCTAGCTAGAGCTGCTTTGAAACAAGGTGGATATCTTTGCTCTAGACTATGAAACTATCCTCATTACCATGTATCCTTTGACTATTAGTACTCAGGGTGACTGTTATCTGTGCGTGCCGCTCGACCCTGGTATAGCGACTGCTGCTTTAGGTGCTGGTGAGTTTGCTCTAGGTGTTGGTGAGTCTGCTCTAGGTGCTGGTGAGTCTGCTCTAGGCGCTGGTGAGTCTGCTCTCCCTGTTACTGCGCCTGCTGAGGCCTTGCACACCTTCACGCTTGAATCAGGTGCTTCCCGCTGCTTCTTTCGCGACAGCACCACAGTCACACCACTCGCAACACCGGTTGCAGTCTCTCTGGCTGACCCCTCTGGGGGACCGGTTCGTTCACGTTCCTCCACTGTTCTCCCGTGTCCGGTGGTTCCGTCTGGCTCACTGGCAGGTCTTCATCTCCCCTCGTTCTCTACGAACTTGGTGAGAAATGCCGTCCTTCAGGATGCTTGGGTGGATACCTTTATCCTTGAAGGATAGCGTGTGGCGATCTTCACGTGTGCACGGACGGGCCGTCACCTGGCCACGTTCACCCGTCGGCCTGGGTCGAGCCTGTACACACTGACTACTGAGCCTCCTCAGGTAGCTGCGCCTCCGCGTCGTTGTCAGGTCAGCTAGCAGCCCCCTGCTCGTGTCGCCTCCTGTCGCACCAGACTCTCCTTTGGCACCATCGCCTAGGTCACCCCTCCTTGCCACGCCTCTGTGGCA